TTCGGACAGTGCTGGCTCAGTGGCCTTGAAATGGAGATGAGTACCACCGCTTAGAGTTGGCAATGACTATGGAATAAAATCCTCTCTTTTTAAACCTTGCTAGTGCCCCCATTTGTAGTGTTAAAAGAAAATGCTGGTTCTTTACAAGCTGAGTCAGTGAGCAAGAGCGATTCAACCTGGAAATAAGGAGAAATTTTCTGATAGTGAGAACAATCAACCAATGGAACAGATTGCCTTCAGAAATTGTGGGAGCCTCATCACTGGAAGCTTTCAAGAAGAAATTGGACTGCCAGCTGACAGAAATGGCGTAGGCCAGGGTCTCCTGCTTGAGCAGGGGGTTGGACTAGATGACCTAGAAGGTCCCTTCTATTCCCTTCTATTCTAACAGCCCAGGACACGTGCTTGAAATGGATGTAAAATTTATTCAACAACAAAAATGAAGAGCATAGCAGTGGAAGATGGCATGTTTAACAACAACAACAACAACAACAACAATAATAATAATAGAGTTGGAACCTTGGAGGTCTTCTAGTGAATCTAGTGACTAGTCCAGTGGTGGCGAACCTATGGCACGCATGCCAGAGGCAGCACTTGGAGCCTTCTCTGTGGCCACATGTGCCGTTGCCCCAGCCCCACCTCCCCCCTTGGCCCCCTCCTCACCAGCAGCCTCCCTAGAGGAGAGTAGCCCCTGAGCATGGCCCACGCGGAGCAGCACAGCCAAGGACATGGGGACAAGACTCCGCCCTCGCGGCCTGTCACATGCAGTTGATGCTGCGGGGTATGGGCGGAGGGTGTGGCTGCCATGGCACTGCTGGACCGCCTGGGCAATCTGCAGCAGGCCGTGGAGGCGGTGGGTGGCCCTGCAGGTGGGTGGGGCAGGGGCGGAGTGGAGGTGGAGCGTGTGGAGTGAGGTAGAGTGGGCAGGGAGGGGAGCAGAATGGGGGGCGGGGCCGGGTTTTGGGCACTCGGTCTCTAAAAGGTTCGCCATCACTGGACTAGTCTAACCCCCTGCTCAGGCAGGAAACCCTGTACCATTTCAGACAAATGGTTGTCCAGTCTCTTAAAAACTTCCAGTGTTGGAGCATTCACCGCTTCTGGAGGCAGGCTGTTCCATTGGTTGATTGTTCTAACTGTCAGGAAGTTTCTCCTTAGTTCTAGGTTGCTTCTCTCTTTGGGAATATTTATAGAAAAGTTTAAGCTTTGTTAGTAAAGCGCTCTATGGATTTATCCAAGCTCTTGGTCTGTCACAAAGCTCATATTTTAATTCCAGAGATTCTAAGCTGCTTTTGTCTTGCTGTGTCTGTAGTTATTTATGTATCTGATAATCTGCAAGCAAGATTTGGATTCTGTCTAAGCGCAAAAAAAGAGATTTTTTTTAAATTTCCTTCGCTCATCATGCAAAGAGCTTTCCTTTCCAGCAGTTTTATTATCCCTTTCCCCTGTGTTGCCCTGCTTTCTGAATACTGCACCTACCTTCTCATTTTAATTTGAACCATTTTAAAGGGAAGTCATTTTTGTAGGATACGTGTTCACTGCAAAGCGGCATAAATTCTACCTTCTTTGAAAATGTCTCAGTTCAGAGGTTATAAATTTGGCTTTGGAACCTTCAGCTATATTAAATGGATTCTCGCCTTCTCCCTCTTTCTCATTTCATAAATTTATAAATTGTGCTCTCCAGTTATTGTACCCTACCTACTTTACAGCCACTAAGAAATGATGAATCATAGAATCATAGGGCTGGAAGGGTTAACAGAAATAACAGAATAACAGAGTTGGAAGGGATCTTGGAGGTCTTCTAGCCCAACCCCCTGCTCAAGCAGGAAACCCTATACCATTCCAGACAAGTGGCTGTCCAGTCTCTTCTTAAAAGCCTCCAGTGATGGAACACCCACAGCTTCTGAAAGCAAGCCATTCCACTAGTTGATTGTTCTCACTATTAGGAAGTTTCTCCTTAGTTCTAGTTTGCTTCTCCCCTTGATTAGTTTCCATCCATTGTTTCTTGCCTTCTAGTGCTTTGGAAAATAAGTTGACACCCTCTTCTTTGTGTCAGCCCTTCAAATACTGGACTAGAGTAGACTAGACTGCAACTGTTCTTCATATGTTTTAGTCTCTAGGGCAGTGGTTCTCCTGTGGGTCGGGACCCCATTTGGGGTCGAACGACCATTTCATAGGGGTCGCCAAACCATGCTGTCCACCATTTTGTTCCCTTTTCCCTAGCTGTCCTACTCCCTCTTATTGGTGGCCACACCCACTTGGGGGTCACCACAACATGGGGAACTGTATTATGGGGTCACGGCATTAGAAAGGTTGAGAACCACTGCTCTAGGCCCTTTATCATCTTAGTTGCTCTTCTCTGCACCTCTAGAGTTTCCACATCTTTTTTGTAATGCGGTGTCCAAAACTGATGCAGTATTCCAGCTGTGGCCTTATTCAGGTTTTATAAAGTGGTACTAATACTTGACGCGAGCTTGATTCTCTTCTTCCGTTTATGCAACCTTGCATAAACTGGTTAAGCAAGGAACCTTGGAGGTCTTCTAATCCAACCCACTTCCCAAGGCAGGAAACCTTAGTGTGTGCTGGACAAATGGCTATCCAATCATTTCTTGAAGATCCCCAACAATTGAGCATCTACAACTCCAGCGAGCCTGGCTGAGGAATTCTGGGAGTTGAAGTCCACAAGTCATAAAAGGGCCAAGTTTGAAGACCCCTGCTCTAAATAATAGGTATTCCTTGACTGACGACCACAATTGGGAGGGGAACTTTTATTGCTAAGTGAGGTGGTCATTAAATGAGTCGCACTCAATTTTACCACCCTTTTTGCCCTGGTTGTTAAGCAAATCACCATGGTCGTTGAGTGAATCAACTTGTATCTCATAATGTGTAGAAAACATCCTTGGTTCTGCAAGCTAATCATGATTTCTGGAAGTTTCCTGTTTGTGAACCTAGAAACTAAAAGATATTCTGTGTTCTGCATCTCATAATGGGTTAATTTCGGGGATGTCCTACTGCAAGACATGTCCATTACCTTAGATGACTTCAAGGAAATTAGTATCAGCATTTATTGAAGCCTGCTGAGTTCTTGATTGCTGATTAGGAGGGTTGTTGCTCCAGTTGCGTTCAATTTAAAATGAAAAATGGGGATCACCACAATATTGAGTTCATTCAACACAATGTATTCTTAAGGCTAATCTCTTCCTTAACACACAATTCAGCCTCCCTCTCATATAGCTTCTCTTCAAACTAGTGCCCTCTTGAAACTTGGACTACAGCTCCCCTTGTCCTTAGCTGTGTGCAGTGTTCTTTTAGCAGAATTACAGAGTTGGAAGAGACCTTAGAGGTCCTCTAATCCAACCCTTTGCTCAATCAGGATATCCTATATAATTTCAGACAAATGGTTGTCCAATCTCTTCTTGAAAAACTCCAGTGATGGAGCACCCAGAACTTCTGATGGCAACCCATTCCACTGATTAATTGTTCTCACTGGAAATTTCTCCTTAGTTCTAGGTTGCTTCTCTCCTTGATGAGATTCCATCCGTTGCTTCTTGTCTTGCCTTCAAGTGCTTTGGAGAATAAGTAGACCCCTCTCTTCTTTGGGGCAGCCCCTGAGATATTGGAACACTGTTGTGATGTAACATGTCCACAATATTCCCTTTTGCTCCTTCCTCTGTCCTTCTTAACTGTTTTCCCAGCCCAGCCAATCAGTATTATGCTGAAGCTGATTATGTTTGATCCATTGTGCTGACGATCATCCCTTACTCCTAAAAGGCTTTTTTAAAAAAAGTCATCAACATTTAGTTAACCAAGACTTTTTTTTTTTAAAGAAACATGGATCTTACTATTTTGATTACAAAGCTCAGTGTTTTCCAACCTGATCAAATTTCAGATGTGTGGACTTCAAACTTAACTTTCTGAAAGTTGAAATCTGCACATCTAGAAATTGCTCGGGTTAGGAAATACTATTGTGGTTATTTCTGGAGAACAAGTTACCTACTATGTAGAATAGTGGTTGACATTTTGGACCAGGATCAGGGAGAACCCAGGTTCTAGTGCACTGGAGTCCCAGAGGCATTGCAGGGGGGTGTTTAATGGTGAAAGTCCAGGACTAGAATGGGAAAAACTTAGATCAGACCATGCTGGCTCAGGAATTCTGGGAGTTGAAGTCCACGAGTCATAAAAGAGGCAAGGTTGCCGACCCCTGACCTAGATTCTAGTCCTTTCTCAGCCATGCAGGACTCTTGGCCAGTAAGCCAGTGTGATGTAGTGGTATCATGTTAGACTAGGAATGGGGGCCCATGTTCCTCAAGTCCACCCAGCTCATTGGGTGACTCATTGTCTGCTAGCTGTCCACCCAATCTACCACATAAAGTTTGTTATTATGAGGAAACATGGAAAAATGAGTACTATTTTACCAGCAGAAGAGAATATTTGTAGCTGAGGGATGAACCGTGGGGGTCCTTGGTGTGCTCTGAGTTTGCTTGTTTTCTTGCAGACATTTCATTACCAAACTAGGCAACATCATCAGGGCTAGTGAGAGTGGGGTTTGCTCTCTGTTTATGTGCTATTTGCCCTATCAGTGTTGTCTGAAGACAAATAAGGTAGCAGTAAACAACAACCTAATCAGGGAACCACCAAGAACACTCCCACCAACCACTTATATATAAACAGAGACCAAATCCCACTCCCTTCTAGCACTGATGATGTTACCTAGTTTGGTAAAGAAATGTCTGCAAGAAAACAACCAAGCTCGGAGAGCATCAAAACCCCACAATACCCCGGTATATTGTGTATATCACCTGGTTGAAACGCAAGATGTAGATCTATCCATAAATGTATCATTATTTAATGGGGCGAGTCAGGTTGACCCCCCCTCCCCATCAGACATACATCTCTCACACTTTGTCTTTTTAAACATTTTAATTAAAAAGAAAGAAAAAGAAAAAAAAACATACTCGCAGCCCATTCACATGATCAGATTTCATGTGGCACGGATTTTATGAGATTTATTCATCTTTCCCCTCCCCCTGATTATTATTTTTTTTTAACAGAGGGATTTCGCAAGTATGGCGTCGGCAACAGACAGAGCGTCACCCACAGGGACCCCCCTTGGCAGATCATTTTCCAGCAAAGCAGTGTGATAAATTCATGGAAATCACATCCATCAAATACACATGTGGGAAACAAGGCACTGCGAGATATAAGCAGGCAGCCAGTGATCAAAGCAGTGACCCAGACAACCCAATTTTCAAGCCTCTGGCTGAGGTGTCAGCCTTGCTGAAACAAAATGAATGGAAAACGGAGAGGACCAGGACTTTATAACATGAAAACCAGAGACAGGAAGAGCCATTTCTAGCGAGAGCTGCCACCGTGGCCATCTTGCATTCTTAAAGCTGAAGATAGTTGGGAACTTCTCTGCCTCTCTTCCCGTAAGTGTTGGCCCCTACATTGGTAGGCGAATAGATGGTTCCGATGGTGTTGCTGGACCGGACCAGGAAGTCTGCCAAGCGTTGGGTCACACAAGTGGCGGTGTTGCACTTCCTTTTTTCCAGATGGTGGCTGTTGGTCGTTAAAAGCAAATAAATTTAACAAACAAGCCGACAAATAATAAATAAAAGCAAATAGAGAGACACATCAAGATGGTCATCTCCCATAGCCATTTTACAATGTACAACAGGTTAGTGTATGCTTTGAATACATGCTTTATATTTATTCTTATAAATATTTGAGGGGGGGGGGCATTTTTACAGGTAACTAGAGGGTAAACTCCATGGATGAAAGTCATGTCACCTACAGCCCTTCTAATGCTCCTTGAAGGCATTTAGCAACAGCAATAGCCATAGACTTATATACCCCTTCTCAATGCTTTACAGCCCTCTCTAAGCAATTCACAGAGTCAGGATATTGCCCCCAACAATCTGGGTCCTCATTTTACCGACCTTGGAAGGATGGAAAGCTGAATCAACCTTGAACCAGTCAGGATCGAACTGCTGGCAGTGGGCAGAATTAGCTTGCAATAACTGCATTCCAACCACTGTGCTACCCGTGACTCATTTAGTGACTGTTACAACTGTGAGAGGTCCTTGGTGCTCTCTGAGCTTGGTTTTTTTTTTCTTGCAGATGTTTCATTACCCAAACTCAAAGAACACCAAGGACCCCTCATTTTAATCCTGAGTTACGACTATTCTCTGTTATTGTTACAGCTGTATTTGTACCTGTTCCATTCCTAAAGCTGGGAAGACAACTGTTGGAGAATTGCGACTTTGAAAAAAATGGGTGATTTTGGATGGATCAGACCCGTAGGTCTAAAGTGCTCCAGCTCTGAGGTCACCCTAACACTGAATTTAATGGCTACGGGATGCTTGCAGAATTTGAAGAGGGTTTTTGGGGGGGGGGGAAGGGGTGGACAGTAGATCAGAATGGAATGGAATGCTTGAAATGTGCATATCTAGTTAGCTACAGAGACTATCTCTTTGTTCTAAGTTTACTGTTCTAGGTTTATATGTTGTATATAGTATATGTTGTATATAGTATGTTTTAAATGTGTGTTATGTATGTGTACACTTTGAGAGAAAATAACTAAATTTCATTTTTAATATGTGCCATTGTGCCCACAGGAAAAAATGACAATAAAGGTTATCTACTTCTAAAGATTAGACAGCAAACTAAAAAACAGAGACATCACCCTGCCAACAAAAGTACATATAGTCAAGGCCATGATTTTCCCAGTTGCAATGTATGGCTGTGAAAGATGGACCATAAGAAAGGCTGAGCGCCAAAGAATTGAGGCCTTTGAACTATGGTGCTGGAGAAGACTCCTGCGAGTCCCCTGGACTGCAAGGCGATCAAACTGGTCAGTTCTGGAGGAGATCAACCCTGACTGCTCTTTAGAAGGCCAGATCCCGAAGTTGAAACTCAAGTACTTTGGCCACCTAATGAGAAGGAAGGACTCACTGGAGAAGAGCCTAATGCTGGGAAAGATTAAGGGCAAGAGAAGAAGGGGACGACAGAGAATGAGATGGCTGGATGGAGTCACTGAAATAGTAGGCGTGAGCTTAAATTGACTCCAGAAGATGGTAGAGGACAGGAAGGCCTGGAGGAACGTTGTCCATGGGGTTGCGATGGGTCGGACATGACTTTGCAGCTAACAACAACAACTTCTAAAGAGATAATTACTATGGTCCTCTTAATCAATAGAAACTAAGCAGCCTACTATGAAGTTGAGATTCTGCGTTTTGCAGGTACAGAAATCCAAATCTTCCTTTTAGATCTGACTGATAAGAAAACTTCACAAATGTGTAGCATGTTCTCAATAAAGCAAATATGTCTATATCGTGAAAATCTAGCATGATTTTTTTCTTCAGGTATAAATTGGCCTGAAATCCAATAGACAGGGCTGAATAAGCGAGTTCTCCATGGCACCAAAGTATAAGATTGCCTTATTTTTCTGTTAAGGTACTTGATGGACCAATCATCTCTTGAAAATTATCCATGGGAACAATCTTCAAAAGGATCTGATAGTTGTAGAGGCAGCACAATAGTAAAAGATGAGAAAAAGCCTCCGGAGTTGGACGGGATCCCATCAAGATGATAGAAGCTCCTGGAACACCCTGTTGATTTTCTTTGTGTAGGAGAAGAGGTGAACAAATGATGAAACTCAATTTGTGAAACCAATATCACTGTTGTATTGAAGCTAAATGAAGGCTGCCTACCTTGTTCCAGACCAGGCCAATCTTATTCATGTTGGTGGGTGATTTTATTTACAAAATGGAGACCTGTGAAAATTCTTTAAATCGGAAGTAAGTTTCATCTTGGGCAGACATTGCCTGAATGAAATGAAGCAATTTATCGAATTGATAGTGGACCACTGGTGAAAGATGAGCATTTAATAGTCATAATAAACGCAGAAAACAGCCTTTTATAAAATTTCTCGATATATCTTTCTCAATGTGTGAGGGAACAAAAGGATTTCCTTTGCAGATTTTATTAAGGTGATCAGAGTTTTATTCAGCATCTAAAAACATTCGTCTTTAACCTGGGGAGTGCTGAAATTGTTGGGATTTCAATTTTCAGGATCCTCAGTTAGCATAAGGCTCACAAAACACAAAAATATAGATTGCAGGACTTGATTTGCTGATAGATCCCCAGCCCTCTCCTTTCACCCTCAACAGAATGAGGGGAGTCAAAAGATTGGAAGTTGAGATAAGGGGAAATTCTGGGAATTCTGGTCATTAGATTTAAAATACTTGGAAATTAGTTGAAAATAAGGACTTTATCTGTTTAATATTTAAAAATTAGACCTAAAAGGAAAAAGAAAATTAATTATTACGAATATGTTTGATTTATTGATTAACCCAGGTAATATACACAATGGTTTTGATTTATTAAAGGGGATGTTGTATTATTAAGTAGATGATTTAATACGGTGGGAAATAGATAACTCTTAGGAAATAGAACAAGATTGCATATAAATAGATAAAATGTGTATTTTGCATATTAGATTTTGTTACGAATTGAGACAAGGGAAATCTTGGTTACCCAAAGCCTGAAAATGATAAATATCAAAGGTCAAATTGGAATATTGATGAGAAATTAAAAACTGGGTAAAAATTAATAACAGGATATGGAGTGTTTATGAAGATTGAATGTAATTAAGATACATATAAGCTAAAAATTTATTGATAAATGTAATAATGATGTTTTTACTGAGTTGATATAATAACTGTACTAGCTTGAATACGAGACAGTAAATGTTAAGGGAAAAAGAGAAGAAATATTTGATGTTATAACTTGAGATTTGTACTAAAGATTTTGTTATCGAACTATTGATTAACCCAGCCACCACCTTGCTTTTTAAATACTTAAATGTAAAATTGGAAAATTAATAAAATATTATTAAAAAAAGGAGATTAGCATCACTGAATACATGTAGTCCTTGACTTACAACCATTCGTTCAGTGACTGTTCAAAGTTACCACAGCACTGAAAAAAGTGACCTATGACATTGTGGCATCCCCAGGCTCACATGATCAAAATGCAAATTGCTCGGAAACTGGCATGTACGTGATCCCCTTTTGCGACCTTCTGACAAGCAAAGTCAATTGGGGAAGCCAGATTCACTTAACAACCGTGTTACTAACTTAACAACTGTAGTGATTCACTTAATAACTGTGGCAAGAAAGGCTGTACAATGGGGCAAAACTCACTTAACTGTCTTGCTTAGCAATGAAAGTTTGGGGCTCAATTGTGGTCAGAAGCCGAGGACCACTGGTACACAAATCGTTCTTTTTCATACTCAGCTGCAATGCTAATTTTTAGTCCCCTTCAGAATCTTAAAACGTTTCCCATTTTAGAAGGTGTTCTGCAGGTTTAATTAGATGGAAGAAGGCACTGGGCTTTGGATAAGGGGTGCAGATTATTGGTCCAAGCATCTGCTACATGGCAATTTAAATAGTTATCTCGTTTCTTAAATATAAACCTTGGTTTCCTCCCCACAGATTAGCCACTGTACTATAGCTTCGTGCAGGGGGTCCCCAACCTTTTGGACACCGGGGACTGGTTCCGTGGAGAGAGGTTTTTCCATGAACCGGAGAGTGTGTAGTTTTGTGGGCTGCCTGCATCTTGCGGATGGGGCTTTGCTTGTTTGTGCGGCCCGGTTGCTGGCATGCCGCGTCCTGGTACTGGTCCACAGCCCAAGGGTTGGGGACCCCTGGCTTAGTGCATTGTGCCAATCCACACTAAATGAGTTTGTATCTAGTTTATGAGGTTGCCTAATTTGTAGTTCAAACTCATGGAGTATAGCACAGCCCATCTGGTAAAAAAACAAACAAACCTGCTCATGTGAACAGTGAAAAGAAATAGTACCAGGGGACGCATATAAAACAGGTATAACTCAAATCTAGACTTTACATTGCTAAGCTAACAGTGATTTTTGAGGAAACGACATCTGCCAAAAGGAGTTATATATATATCTGGAGGAGGTTGCCCCTTCTGAATGCTGATTGAATTCAGCCATTATTTATAGTCTAGAATGAAAATCAGTCCTGATTGAGAAAGAACAAGAGAGATTGGGGGACCGGCATAAAATGTGCAGGAGGATATTAAAAATAATGCAATTGGATGTTCTGAAGCATAGGCACCTCTTCCCAACCACAATAGTCCCACGATTAATCCACAGCCCAGCGAGATCCTCCCTTTTGTATTGGCATCACAATGTTACACAGAAGGTGTAAGGGTTGGAATTGTCCTCATGAAGGACCAAGTCACATTTTATTCCCCCACTCCCTTCTTACAGATACCCACATTCAGGAACCAGATTCACACATCAATCTAGACTAAAATGAGGCTGTCCTTGCACAGGGGTCAGTTAATTGGGGCAGAAGATGCTATGTAGCAAAACAGTTGTGCTTTGCTCACTCAGATTTAGGATTTCACAGGATGGGGCCAGCCCAGTCAATAAGCTGAGACAAGAGAAAAATGGACAAGAAAACAGGAACCAGGGTTGTTCAAATGAGTACAGGTAGTCCTTGACTTACAACAATTCCTTTAGTGACCGTTCA